GGGTTTCACCATGTTGACCAGGATGGTCTCGATCTCTTGACCTCGTGATCCACCCGCCTTGGCCTCCCAAAGTGCTGGGATTACAGGCTTGAGCCACGGCGCCTGGCCGATACCATGCTTTAAATAAAAGTGCAGCCAGTGTGGTGGCTTACGCCTGTAATCCAGCACTTTGGGAGGCTGAGGAAGGCAGATCACCTGAGATTGGGAGTTGGAGACCAGCCTGACCAACATGGATAAACCCTGTCTCTACTAAAAACACAAAAAAATCATTCATGGTGGCACGTGCCTGTAATATCAGCTACTTAGAAGACTGAGGCAGGAGAATCGTTTGCACCCAGGAGGTGGAGGCTGCGGTGAGCCAAGATCGCACCATTGCACTCCAGCCTGGCAACAGAGCAAGACTCTGTCTCAAAAATAAATAAATAAATAAATAAATTAGGACACAAAGCTGATTTGAGAAAAGATGTTATTAAAATTACTACTCTCAGAGCTTCTGCTGAAAAGGACATACATTTTCATTTCTGGCCAATCTACAGCGTTGTAAAGGGAGTCACCTGAGAAAATTTCTTAAGGAAAAGAAAAAAACCTAAAATTTCCACGGGAGGAATAAATGTATGTGTCTTCCATAAGTTTCCATCATGATTACTTTGTGGTCACCTAGACAATAACAGGAACCACAATGTCATTAACTTCAGGCATGATGTATATAAGCTGCAACTATCTGTTTAAGCAGATCTCTAAACATTTAAAAAAAAATTATCTATCCTTTGACCCAGAAATTCCACTTCCAGGGATGCATCCTTTCTATATAAATAAAGCTGACCTTGTGTTAACTCTCTAGTTCTGTTCCCCTGGAAACCCAATGAAGGAGACTGTTGACTGTGTTACCAGGTAACACTACCCAAGAAAAAAAGACCTCCTGATATGCCTCTCAACTTGGGATGACTGTAAATGAACATGAACACCTGTTGGTAAGCCACAGTTTAGATTTGGACTTCCCTGTGAGCAGTGACTCCTGTGGGTATGTCCCTTATTGGATCTGGAATTTAGACCTATGGAACTGTTAAAAAAGATACTGGTTCCTATTTGGGACATGATATTTCTAAGCCAGGCTGGTTCTCCCATCTGTCTACTGTGGTCTTGGGCTCTTGTACTTAAGCTGCATAGGGAAGGGAGACAGGCACAGATGACAGCCCCTCCACTGCTATGCAGAGCACAAGAGAAATGCCTGGCTTTACAGTGCCGCCATGTTGTGTGTTCCTTTTAATATCCTCCTCTGAGGGAATCTTTTCTCAATATGGCCTGATTCGGTCCAGTGAGTTTGACTGCTTAGTTGAATCTAAGAACACCAACTGAAACCCCACCCTGGGAAGGCAACGTATCACAGATATAAGTAAGTTGCTCTTTACATTTTCTAAAATACAAAATTTAAAACATAGTTTTCATTAACACAGAAAAGTTATGCTACATTCATATAGAAAAAATGAGTAGATCCAAGTATACAGCTTATTCTGTGAAAGCATGTGTTTCTGCACTGTGAAAGCGCTCATGTGAAATTAGTAAATAAGGGAATGGCATCAGTATAACATGGAACCACGCTGGCTCATTGATTTTTCCCTGCATGTTACTATTTTGTGATTAAGCCTAAACACAAAGTATACTAAGATACCAACCACAGCAATACAAAAAAGCTGTACTGTGTATAATGTGTATTTACTCCACCTGCTCTCTCTTTGCTCGGTGTAGCCAGCGACTCTGCTTGGAAGTGTTTACTACATGGTTCTCACAAGTCTCGTTTTACCCTTGTCCCCATTACTCAGATTTACAATCCCTCATCCAGCTCCCATGGGTTGTTACTGCTGATGTTGAAGGTAAAGAAATAATAGAGTAGCCAAGCACCTATAGTGCCTTGGAAAAAGTGAAAAAAGTTGCATAAATATGTGAACTCATTAAAAAATAATTCTGTGTGTTGCACATACGTACATATGTAACATGTATGAAAGTATATACAAAAAACTTAGAGAGTGAGACAGGGAGGGAGAAGTGGAAAGTGGATCTGGAGAGCCAAAGGGGTAAAGTGACGTAAAACATTTTCAGTTTATAACCTGTTAGAATAACTCTTACCATAATTATGAATTACTTTCATTAAATAAAGTCTAGTAAAATTTAAAAACGAACTGACCTCTAATAACCTTTTTTCCCAATGGTTGAGCTCAGTGCCCATACCACCCTGATTTTCAAGCTCCATTCCCTCCAGAACTGGACAATTAAAATGTTTTCGTGCTTCCTCCTATGAACCAGAAAAAAAAATATGGTACAAAAGTACCGTAAGATAATGGCAAACTTTTCATCACATGAATATAAAAAGTTAACATTAAAGAATTATTCTGTTGAGAAAAGAGAAATTCCTTTTTAAATGTTTTTTTCTTTTTCTTTTTTCTTAAGCAAAGCCACTGTTACCCTGTGATAAAATATGTTTTTTAATATAATTATTTTGATGCAGTCACTCTTCTTTGCTATGAAATTTCTACTTCTCTCAGTATCTTTTCTTCTCTCTGAAGATTTTCACTTTTGTACCAGATAGCTAAAAAATGTTATAGACTAGTACGATTGACAGATGTAACTCATGTCAATAACAATTTTATATTTTTTATCTCATTTTAAATTGACAATTTATGGTTGTATATATTTATGGAGTACAGAGTGGTTATGATTTATGAATACAATGTGAAATAATTACATCAAGCTAATATATCTATCATTTCAAATACTTATTTTTTGTGAGAGGAGCATTTGAAATTTACTATCAGTAACTTAAAAATATGCAATACACTATTACTAACCATATTCACCACGCTGTGCAATAAATCTCAAAAAAAAGAAAAAAACGTGTTACTCGTGTCTGTGATTTTGTACCCTTTGGCCATCATCTTACCATTTCCGCCACCCACAGCCTCTATAACTACTACTGTCTGCTTCTGAGTTCAGTTGTTTTAGATGTCACATGTAAGTGAAAACATTTATTTATCATTAAATAAATTCTAGTAAAATTTAAAAACAAACTGACCTCTAATAATCTTTTATCCCAATGGTTGAGCTCAACTGAAAAAGTGCGAGCACTCTTTTCGTCTTTTTGATAATAGTCATCTGACAGACATAAAATGATATCTCATTGCGGTTTTAATCTGCATTTCCCTAAAGATTAGTAATGCTGGACATTTTTTTTCATGTACCTGTTCACAATTTGCATGTCTTCTTTTGAGAAATGTCTATTCAGCTCCTTGGCCAATTTTTTAAATGGGCTATTTGTACACAGTTGTTTGTATTCCTTATATATTCTGGATACTAGCCCCTTTTCTGATGTATGGCTTGCAAGTATTTTCTCCCAATTTGTAGGTTGTCTCTTCACACTTTTAATTATTTCCTTTGCTGTGCAGAAGCTTTTTCATTTGATATAATCTCATTTGTCCTTTTTTATTTTTGTTGCCTGCGCTTTCAGGGTCTAATCCAAAAACTCACTGCCCTAACCAATGTCATGTAGTTGTCCCTTATGTTTTCTTCTAGTAGTTTTACAGTTTCTGGTCTTATGTTTAAATATTTAATACATTTGGAGTTGGTTTTTGTATATGGTGTGAGGTAAAGGTCAAATTTCATCTTCTGCATATGAATATCCAGTTTTCCCAACACCATTTATTGAAGAGACTTTTTCCCACTGTGTATTCTTAGCACTGTTATTAAAAATCAATTAACCATAATTGGTTAATCATAATCAAGTCAATCAAGTAAATTGTAATTTCTTCTGTTCCATTAATCAATGTGCCTATTTTTATGCTAAGACCATGAAATTTTACTTACTATTCCTTTGCAGTACAGTTTGAAATACTACAAAACTGGAGGCATCACACTGCCTGAATAGCTTTGTTCTTTTTGCCCACAGTTGCTTTGGCTATTTAGGTTTTTGTGTGTGTGTGTTTGTGGTTCCATATGAATTTGAGAATTTTTTTTTTCTATTTCTGTGAAAAATGACAGACACTGGAATTTTGAAAGGGATCACACTGAAGCTGTAGATTGTTTTGGGCAGTATGGACATTGTAACAATATTAATTCTTCTAATCAATGAACAAGGGATACCTTTATATTTATTGTGTCTTCTTCAATTTCTTTCATCTAGTTTTCAGTGCATAGGTCTTTCACTTCCCTGGTTAAATTGATTCCTAAGAATTATTTCTTTTTGTAGCTATTGTATATGAGATTATTTTCTTGATTTTTTTTTCAGGTAGTTTTCTGTTAGTATATAGAAAACTACTGATTTTTTGTGCGTTGATTTTGCATCCTGCAATTTTACTGTATTTATTAATCCTCATAATTTTTTGATGGAGTCTCTAGGGTCTTCTATATGTAAGATCATGTCATCAGCAAACAGCAACTATTTCACTTCTTCCTGTCCTATCTGGATGCCTTTTATTTATTTATATGGCCTGACTGTTCTAACAAGGACTTCCAATACTATGTAGAAGTGGTAAGAGTGTTTCAGAAATTGGAGGAAAGGCTTTCAATTTTTCACTAATGAGTATAAGGTCTGTTGTAGGTGTCTCTTATATGGTCTTTATTGTGCTGAGGTACCTTCCTTTTGTACATAATTTGGTTAGTTTTCAATCATAAAAAGATGTTGAATTTTGCTAAATGATTTTTTGGCATCTACTGAGATGATCATATGGTTTTTGTCCTTCATTCTGTCAGTGAGATGCATCACATTTATTGATTTGCTATGTTCAGCCATCCTTACATCCCAGGGATAAATCTTACTTGATCATGATGGATGACCTATTTAACGAGTTATAGAACTCAGTTTGTTAGTATTCTGTTGGAAAATTTTTGTACTTATGCTTATCAAGAATATTAGCCTGTTCTGGGACAAAGATAGCAGAAGAAGAAAACTGGTAACACAAAAAAAGAAAAAAAAAGAATATTAGCCTGTAATTTTCTTTTCTTGTAATGGTCTTGTCTAAATCTGTTATTAGAATATTGCTGCCCTGGTAAAAAGAGTCTGGAAGTAATCCCTCCTCTTCAACTTTTTGGAAAACTTTGAGAAGGACTGGTAAACATTTGGTGAAATTCAGCAGGGAAACTGGTCCTGGGCTTCTCTTTGATAGCAGACTTTTCTTACTGATTCAACCTCATTACTCATTATTGGTCTGTTCAGATTTTTTATTTCTTCATGATTCAGTATTCATAGGTTGTATTTTTCTAGGAATTTGTTCATTTCTTCCAGGTTATCCTATTTGTTGGTATAAAATTGTTCATAATAGTCTCTTATGATCCTTTGCGTTTCTGTGGTATCAGTTGTAATGTCTCCTCTTTCATTTCTTACGTTATTTGCATCTTCTTAGTCTAACTAAAAGTTTGTCAGTTTTATCTCTTCAAAAAATCTACTCTGGCCAGGCGCAGGGGCTCATCCCTGTTATCCCAGCACTTTAGGAGGCCAAAGTGGGTAGATCACCTGAGGTCACCAGTGCCTCCTCTGTTGAGATACCTCTTAGGATCAGTGGTACTATTTCTACAATTGCTGATTATTTTAGTTGGTGCCTATACTAGTCAAGGTTCTCCAGATAAACAGAACCAGTAGGATGTGTGTATATATCTATATATATGTACACACAGAGAAAGAATACAAGAGAGGAAGGGAGGTGGCGGTAGGCGCCTGTAATTCCAGCTACTCAGGAGGCTGAGGCAGGAGAATCGCTTGAACCCGGGAGGCGGAGGTTACAGTGAGCCAAGCATGTGCCATTGTACTTCAGCATGGGCAACAAGAAGGAAACACCATCTCCAAAAAAAAAAAAAAAAAAAAAAGTTGCTCAGTAGGATAAAATCCTACTCATTGGGTTCTATCTGTCCTTTACTTAGAGATTTCAAGAGATGGGAAATAGCCCAAAAGCAGTGCAGAACTTTAAAAGTCAGAGAGCTGTACACAGTCAAGGAAAAGGGGAAGGGAGAATATGTCTGCTACCCAGATATTTGGCCCAGATATTCTGGATGTTTTTGTGAAGGTGTTTTCTTTTTTTTTTTTTTGAGATGGGAGTTTTGCTCTTGTTGTCCTCTACCTCCCAGGTTCAAGTGATTCTCCTGCCTCAGCCTCCAGAGTAGCTGGGATTACAGGCATGTACAACCACGCCCAGCTAATTTCGTATTTTTAGTAGAGACGGGGTTTCTCCATGTTGGTCAGGCTGGTCTCGAACTCCCAACCTCAGGTGATCCACCCGCCTCGGCCTCCCAAAGTGCTGGGATTACAGGCGTGAGCCACCGCACCCAGCTGGGAAGGTGTTTTCTTGAATAAGAGTAACATTGATATCAGTAGACTCTGAAGTAAAGATCACCTCCGTAATGTGGGTGGGCCTCATCCAATCAGTAGAAGGCCTGAAGAGAACAAAGACTGATCTCCCCTGAACAGGAAGTAATTCTGCCTTTGGACTTGAACTGCAACTCTTCCCTGAGTCTCCAGCCTGCTGGCCTATCCCTTCAGATTTGAACTGGCCAAGCTTCCACAGTCATGTGAGCCAAATCCTTAAAAGTAATCTCTTGGCCAGGTGCAGTGCCTCATGACTGTAATCTTAGCACTTTGGGAGGCTGAGGCAGAAAGACTGCTGGAGCCCTGAAGATTGAGACCACCCTGGGCAACAGAGTGAGGCCTCATCACTACAAAAAATAAACAAAATTAGCTGGGCATGGTGGTGTATTCCTATAGTCTCACCCACTTGGGAGGCTAAAGTAGGAGGATCACTTGGGCCCAGGAGGCAGAGGCTGCAGTGAGCCAAAACCGCACCACTACATTCCAGCCTGGGTGATAGAGTGAGACCCTGTCTCAAAAAAGAAAAGAAAAGAAAAGAAAAGAAACAAGAAGAAATCTCTTCCTCCCCTCCTCTCTCATATTCTTTCTCTGTGTGTACATATATAGAGATATATACACATATCCTGTTGGCTCTGTTTCTCTGGAGAACCTTGACTAACATGGATGGAAAATAAAATGATCAATAATTATAGAAATAGTACCAGTGATCCGAAGAGGAATCACAACAGAGGAGGCACTGGGTAGGGTGGGAGCTGTGAGAGTCACTGCCAAGTTTCCATTTCCTCAGATTTCTCATGGCCCGTAGCTTTACGGCACTGCATCTATATTACTTTCTCTACTATAGACTCTAAAATATTATAAGTTCTTAAATAATAACAATGAGTAAAGAAAGGGCCACAATAAAGGAAAAGAACAGATGGCTCATAAGACATGAAGTTCAGTAATACTTACAACAACACGAGGCGTTACCAGGAGATACACAGTGTGAGGAACTACCTTATTATCTCGAACATCCCATAATCTCTCCACTTTTCGAACTACTTTATCACTCCATTGATATAATCCAAGACTGTAATTATAGAATTAAAACACAATTATTGTTGCAAATTCACCACCACTTTAAATGTAAAAATATTTACATTTACTGTAAAAAGCCTTTATGACTATCAAAAAAGCATGATAAACGAAATAAAAAGATGAACTAGGAGAAATATTTATAATAAGCATGAAAAAGGAGTAATACCTGTAATTTATAAAGAACTCCTACAATGTGATTAGAAAGGGAAAACCGACATAAAAGATTGGACAAAGAAAATAAACAGTGTACAAAGAGAACATGCAAATGGCTAAAACCTCACTACTGTCCTGGAAATACAATGATACCATCTTTTATCCATCAGATTGGGCTTAAAAAATAGAAAATATCTACAATATCCAATACTGATAAAAAGGTAACAAGAGCATTTATACATCCTTGGTGGGAATGTGCTTTGATATGCCTTTTTATTTTTTTTTTGAGACAGTTTCACTCTTGTTGGTCAGGCTAGAGTACGGTGGCGTGATCTTGGCTCACTGCAAACTCTGCATACCAGGTTCAAGCTATTCTCCTGCCTCAGCCTCCCGAGTAGCTGGGATTACAGGAATGAGTCACCACACCTGGCTAATTTTGTATTTTTAGTAGAGATGGGGTTTTGCCATGTTGGTCATGTTAGTCTCAAACTCCTGACCTCAGGTGATCTGCCCACCTCAGCCTCCCAAAGTGCTGGGATTACAGGCATGAGCCACCGTGTGGCCCTGCTATACTTTTAAAAAAAAAAAGTCACTGGGCACAGTGGCTCACACCTATAATCCCAGCACTTTCAGAAGCTGAGGCGGGTGGATCCTGAGGTAAGGAGTTCAAGATCAGCCTGACCAACATGGAGAAATCCCAGCTCTACTAAAAATACAAAATTAGCCAAGCATGGTGGCGTGCTCCTATAATATCAGCTACTCAGGAGGCTGAGGCAGGAGAATCGCTTGAACCCAACAGGCGGAGGCTGCAGTGAGCCAAGATCATGCCATTGCTCTCTATCCTGGGCAATAAGAGTGAAACTCCATCTCAAAAAAAAAAAAAAAATGTAACATGGCAGTTTTTATTAACATTTATAGTTTAAACAGATTTTAAATCAGCAATCTCAGTTTGGGAAATCTATCCCATATAAATAAAAGCACTACTACAAAAGTAACATATTTATCTATTACAGAAAATTACGAACATCAATTTTTACTTCTCCCTGTAACCTAAGTCATTTTGTTTTCTGGCTTATTCCCTAGACTACTTCTGCCATTTTCCCTATAAGTCCCTCATTCTCAGCAAAAGAACAGAAAACATAAAGAGGATTTTCTTTTACAATATTGTTTTATAAAAATTTCAAACATATAAAACATTAAAAAAATAGTTTAATAAACACCCTTATAATCAATAACCAGTTCACCTAGATTCTGTAATTAACATTTTGTTATATGTATTAACACATATTTGTTCATCTACCCATGCCTCAGAGAGTTTGTTTTTAATTCCTTTATCTTTTTCCATGGCCAGGCAATGTTTAAACATAAAAAGTGAACAAAGCCAGCCAGAAAATAAACAGCTTTTACCTTATTAACCACTCCAATCTCTCTTTACCATTCATACTTCAAGATTAACAGTTTCCCCAAATACATCAGTTAAAGCCAAATCCAATTATTTATATTTGTAACAATTGAATTTATTACTCTATTATCTTCATTTTTACTGGAAGCTTTCTCTTTTTTTCTCTTGGGACAGTCTTCCTCTGTCACCCAGGCTGGATTACAGTTGCATGATCACAGCTCATTGCAGCCTCAACCTCGTGAGCTCAACTGATCCTTCTACCTCAGCACCCAAGTAGCTGGGACTACAGGCACATGCAAGCATGCCTGGTGAATTTTTATATTTTTTTGTAGAGACAGGGTTTTGCCATGTTCTCCAGCTGGCCTTGAACTCCTAGGTCAAGCAATCAGCCCACCTCAGCCTCACAAAGTGCTGGGAATAGAGGCATAATCCACTGTGCCTGGCTGGAAGGTTTGATGCTTTCGAGGAATATCCTCAATGCAAGAAAGCACTGCAAAGTATCAGCTTAAGAATGCTTCTTGGGGACGGATCCAAGATGGCCGATTAGGAGCAGCTCAAGATTGCAGCTCCCAGCGAAAGCGCAGAGGGACTGCGGGGAAGTTCACACGGCAGCTGGGCAGAGCCCACAGCAGCTCAGCAAAGCCTCTGCAGGCAGACAGTGACTAGGCTGCCTCCTCGCTGGGCAGGGCAGCCCTGAAAAAAGGTAGCAGCACAACAGAAACTCATAAATAAAGCCCTAACTCCCCAGGACAGAGCACCTGGGGAAAAAAAAGGGGGGGGGGTTATGAATTCCGCTGCAGCAGACTTAAACGAACCTGCCCAGCAGCTCTGAATGAACAATGGAGCTCACAGCTCAGCACTTGAGCTCCTATAAAGGACAGACTGTCTCCTCAAGCAGCTCCCTGACCCCTGTATCCAAAGAGTCACCTCATAAAGGACAGCTCAGACTGACATCTGGCGGGTATCCTTCCGGGACAAAGATAGCAGAAGAAGAAACTGGCAGTAACCCTTACTGTTCTGCAGCCACTGCTGGTGAGCCTCAGGCAACCAGGGCCTGGAGTGGACCTCAGCAGTCCTAGAGTAGAGGGGCCTGATTGGTAGAAGGAAAACTAAGAAACAGATAGAAATAACTTCATCATCAACAAACTGGACGTCCACAAAGAGACCCAATCTGAAAGTCAACAACTACAAAGATGACAGGAGGACAAAACCACAAAGATGGGAAGAAACCAGCACAAAAAGGATGAAAACACCTGAAACCAGAAGGCCTCTCCTCCTACAAGGGATCACAACTCCTTACCAGCAAGGGAACAAGGCTGGATGGAGAATTAATGTGATGAACTGACAGAATCAGCCTTCAGAGGTGGGTAATAAGAAACTTCGCTTAGCTAAAAGAACATGTTCTAACCCAATGCAAAGAAACTAAGAA